CCGATGCCTCCGCGAATAAAGTTAGGGCCCAAAAGGGCAGCCAACCTATGAATTTCAATTGTCAAGAGCAATTTACTGATACTATTGTTACGAACCGTCCTTTAGTAAGCACGTGCTTGACTCAGTTTTTGCATAAATTTACTCAATTTCGCGGAGGAACGCTCATTTCTGTACATTCTTGGCCATCTTGGTTAGAATTGGAATCTGCAGACTGGCAGTGAAATTTTGTGGGTTAGAAGGGTGGCTGCACTTTTGGGCCTTATAAGCCCTCCATGAAGCGATCTGTCGGTACTCTCCCTATACGGGTACTCTAAATCGTACGATTCGATCGCAAAAATTCACCTCTTCAATGCGGTCATAAAACCACGGCACGCGATCGCACTCGGTGACTCATCCCGATGCATCGCCGATGTATCGTTCCGATGCATGGTTTCCGCTTGGGCAGTCGCTTCCACCCGCTCGCTCTACATTGGAAACCGCGCTCTGACCATGCATGTCGTCGGAGGTCCACTGTACGCAGCGCGGGATATTCAATACCCTCAAGTTGCGACTTACGCGCGGTTAATTATCCCCCTCCCCCCTCTCCAACCTGAGATCCGTCAAAAACAGTGATTATGTTACACAAAACATTAGAGTGCGATGTCTCGGTCAACTGATACCACTGTCTGCTCACCCCCGTTGGACGCGTGCCGGAGTTGCCATTATACCTCGAGTTTACTTATTTATTTATTTATTTGATCTTTGGTACAGAAATGTAAGCTCCTGGTAGAGCTATTGTACAGGTCAATTACACAGTATACCAAACTTATAAACAATGTATATTCACATTACTTTATCAAATGTCTAGGTACTAAGAAATTCACTAATGTCATAATAGGCTTTCTGCAACATTAGCCTTTTTATTTGCCTTAGAAAAGCGTGAACGTCATGGGATCGGAGGGAGTTCTTAATGTCTAAAGGGAGAGCATTGAAAAGTTGGATAGATGAGTACGTTATATTGGCCTCGGTCGAGACAAGGGAAGTAAGAATGTTGCAGATTGAATGATGGCGAGTATTATATCTATGACCTAGAGCAAGATTGGTAGGTGATAAGATGATGGTGATAAGGTGATAAGAGTTAGAATCTCCCTGCTAAAAATGACAGGAGACCTTTTCCTTCATGACGAACATATAGTGTCCTATACCGCACCACCCTGGTCCTCCCCGGTACGCAAACTACTCTCGCCTTTTACAGGGTACCTTATCTTTGAGGCTCATTTACTTCAATTCTTAATGTCATCATTATGTTTCTGTTGCAGGCTGGATCACTGGACAAACGAGAACTTTTATTCAAGATTTTAGTAATAGGAGAGTTAGGAACTGGCAAAACATCAATAATCAAACGATATGTGCACCAGTTCTTTTCGCAACACTATCGAGCCACGATCGGTGTTGACTTCGCACTGAAGATACTCAACTATGACCCTCAAACTATTATTAGGCTCCAACTTTGGGATATCGCAGGTAAACTTTGCAAATCTCGCTGAGGTGTGCGCACATCGCACAATTGTTTGTTTGTTTTTATTTTTTAATGTGAATATTCTGATATTTCATTCATCGTAAGGAGATAGAATCCATCCATTTCACTAAAAATTTTACCGAATATTCCTTATGATTCTACAATTTTCTACGGAAAGAATTCTGGAAAAATCACACATTTAATTCCTCTCCAAAGGATTAATTGGACGTATTTCTGTCAAACGGAACTAAGCGCCAATTTGAGTTCCTTTTGAGGAATTTAGAATGCCGGATAGCGCGTTCTGTCAAACGTAACTAAGCTCCATGGAAAAGCATTGCGGGTATAGGACGTAACGAGCCCGACGCCCGTTTCTGCCGCCAATCCAAGCCCCCATCTATCTTCCTCTCCCTATGGCGCTTAGTTCCGTTTGGTAGAAATACTTCCAATTAGCAACAGAGATTCTGAAACACAATTAATCGAGAAGTGTCCTTTTCGCATCCAGTGCCTCGATTACAATGGTACGAATCACGAAGGCAATGCAATGGCGCGAAAAGAATATTTTTCTCACAATTTCAATAGGTACAAATAATGTTTGCGGTTTTAAAAGTGGGATACTTTGGAGCTCCTCAAAAAGATTGCATTCTGCAGGCACATAATATGCGCTTCATATGTATTATGGAGATTTGTAAAAAACTACAAAAGTACTTATTGACCTCATTTATTCGCTCTCGTGTTGCAACGACTTTAAGAGGTGAGACTATCTTGCATACAAGCTTAGATTACACCTATTCTTACGCCTATATTTTATGGTATTAAAGATCGGAAAAAAGGACACTTTACAGAATACTATTTTGATGGGTATTACACATCGAATTTTGGCTAGTGGGGCAGCTAATTATCTGATTTTTAAATATTTTAGGTCAAGAAAGATTTGGAAACATGACACGAGTGTACTACAAAGAAGCAGTCGGTGCGTTTATCGTTTTTGATGTGTGCAGGGTAGCCACATTTGAAGCCGTGGTAAAGTGGAAACAAGATTTAGATTCCAAAGTCATGCTACCAGATGGAAATCCAATACCGTGTATTCTGTTAGCAAATAAAGTAAGTACCTACTCAATATCTTCGCATACTGAATGGTTTCCTGGTGAAATTTTTCATTTTGGGGGCAAAATTCGGAAAATTTACGGATGAAGTCAAGATTATAAATTTTTAAGGGTCTGACGAGCTTTTATTTTAGAATTTTGTTTAAAGCAGTTTCTATCCTAGGACATTTTCTTTACAAAACGCATATTTTTTCGTAATTAATATGAACAGGTTTTTAGGCGTACCTCGATTCCCCCTTTCCAGTATGGCAGCCAAGTTTAACGTCCGTTGCGTCCGGATTCAGACTTCTTACTCGTTGAAAATATAGGTACGCCACATCACCTTTAGAAAACGCCCACCACAAGTCTCAAATGGGGGAGCAAAAGTGGGATCGTAAGTCGACTTCTCAACTGGATTACATTTTGCAATAAGGAACCACTATCTCTGGCTCTTTCAAAAGCACATATCATGCATAGGGAAACCAATGGTATGTATGTTGTTTCTAAAATGAGCCAGAAATAGTGGCTCCTCATTGCAAAATGTAATCCAACTAGCAGACTATGAGCGACCTGAGAGGAACTTAAGTATGTTTTGTTTACATTGAACATCTGGGAATTCGTGCATTAAGAGACGGAATCCTATGAAGTAGAAATCTAAGTATTTCACTTTCTCATCATCGCATATCTACCTTCCCACGTAGAAGATTACGAATGAATATTAAAACTGTGCAAAAAAAAAAAAAAAAATAACAGATCAAGCAGCACTGGAGGCGCGCGCATTCATATTAATTGTCTTTCCTTTTCTTTCAGTGTGATCAAATCAAGGATGGTCAGGGTAGCAATGCAGCCAAGATGGACGAATTTTGTAAGGAGCACAAGTTTGCAGGCTGGTTTGAGACATCAGCCAAAGACAATATAAACATAGAAGAGGCAGCCAAAAGTCTAGTCACGAAGGTGAGTGTTGTTATACTGTCTCATAGAACAGACTTAAGAGGGATGAATAAGAATTAAATAGTTGGTTGGAAAACTAAAAAATCGTCGAGGAGGAAGGGAGGGGGGTAGCTCTTTGCGCCTACGCAAGATTCAGAACTTGCATAAAACTTTAGCTTAGCACCTGCGAATTTTAACTCACAGAATCGATCTTTGCGAGAAATAAACGATTTGTCGAAAGATAACATCGATGTTTTTAATATTTTAGGTGAGAAAACTATACGCTTTTGGTATCAGAGAGGTATTGCCAAGAGCCGTTTGAGAGCCCACCCTGAATCCCTGAAACCGAAACCAGTACCTAATTGACAGCGCTCCCCGCTCCGTCCTTCCGAATCAGTTGGAAATATACCGCTTCCCACCGAGGAAGTTTTCCAGGTCACCCACAAATGACAGCCACACGAGGCTAAATTGAGCGAATATGAAAGATTGGAGAACATTTTCCAGTGCAAAGTAACTGATTCAGGAGTGCGGAGCGTTATTAACGACTGGTTTCAGTGCCAAGACAAGAGCTTCTACGCTAAAACGTCAAGAGGCTGCTATATTGTTACGAAAAATTTCAAAACAGGGATAGAGACTATGTCAAAAAGTGACGTAAGGTCTACTCATAAAAAACTTTTAAATTCCTTTTTGATGTGATGCTTAGCGGCGATAACCCTAATCTGAAATGATCGATTCTCCGCGCATCGCGTAACCTGACTCCAGAGCAGGTGGGCACTCCGTAAAATTGAGTTTTCTCGCGACTTTCGAGACCGATTTTCAAAAACTTGAACTTGTTTTAAGGCTGAGAGTATGCCTGATATGTGCTATGTGCCGATTTGGTTTATCTCTTTTCATTTGGAAAATAGAGGGTAGGGAACCTTACTTTTTTGGCGACCCTCGCATAGAGAGCGGCCTCCAAGAAAAAAACCACGGCTGACGTCGTCAGAGTTTATTGCCTAGAATCAGAGGAAATCTAATTGTTCGGTACTCGAAGACTGGGGCTGCTTCTGATTGAGCTCATTCAGCAAAATTTGTAAACTTTTATTTTTCACCATTTATGGTTATAAAAATGAGAATGGGATCACAACATGCGAGAAATACAGCCAAGCGATTTGACTTTTTTCCGGTAAAATCGCATGAAAACCACGTTGGGCACGATAAAAATGTCTGAAATCCTTTCCTCAGCGCACAAGCTGCGTAATTTGTCACACACCACTTTTTTATCACGTCAGCGAGTAGTTTTTTTGGTGGCCAAAGAAAGACTCAAGAAAACCTGACCAGGTTTGAAAATTTAATTAAAATTTCAAAATCACCTGCCTTTTCCCTGACCACTGGCGCTATAATTCCCTGACTTTTCCCTAACTTCATGGAGAGAAAGAAGAAAAAGGTTGATTACAAGCTGAAATGCAAACTTTGAAGCACCGCAATTATTGTGTGTGAAGTTGAAACTTACAAACAGCCCGAATACAGAACGCGAAAGCTGGCGGCAATGGTGCTGAATTCCAACTCTTGCACCTTATTTCAATGTTTATAACAAAATGTTTTTCTGAGGGAAGAATCGAGTAAAAGTTACTGGACTGGACGTTTCGCTGCGAAGGTCATTAAACCACTAAAAGTATACTTACAATGAAAGTCACTATCATCCCTCGGACATCGCGCTAAACTAAAATGCGTGATACAACTATTTCAACTCCTGAGCCGATCAAATTGCATCCACCGAGTTGAAGGCGAACTTGATTTTTACTACTAATCCCGTTTCAATCAATCAGATTTAAGTTTAGTATGAGCGCGCGAGGGCACATTCTAGTTTTAGCAACCCTTCTGGATCTCAGTATCAACACATTTTCTGCAGGAAGAATCGAGTAAAAGTTACTGGCCGTTCCGCTAATGATATTTCCCTATTTGAAGCTGTGGTGCAAGATCGATTATTAAGGTGTTCGTTGCGAACACCCTGATCATCGATCGTTTTCCCTAACTTTAAATGGCAGATCGATCGATACATCGCAAAGCACACCACGCCACTGGCTGCGATGGTCATTGAAAACACGAAGATTAAAACGAAAGTCAATACTCGTCTCTGGGTGACACGCTCAGCTAAAATTCGTGATGGAACTAAATAAACTCCTGAGCCACTCAAATTGTATGCGTCGAGTTGAAGGCGAACTTGATATCGCACTCTCGTTTACAATTATTCAGACATGAACGCGAGAGCTGTGCTAGTTTCAACTTCTCGATGTTAATATCAGAATATTTTTCTGCGGGGAGAATCGAGTAAAAGTTACTGGACTAAACGGTTCGCTGCGAAGGTCATTAAACCACACACACCTACAACGGAAAGTCACTCGTTCCTCGAAAATCACGCTGAGCTAAAATGCGTGATACAACTATTTCAACTCCTAGGCCGCTCAAATTGCATCTATCGAGTTGAAGGCGAACTTGATTTTTCACTCCTGTCTCCATTATTCAGATTAATGAGCGCGAGGGAAGGCGGCGGGGCTGTGCTACATACATTTTAGATTCAGCGAGTCATCTTAATGTCAATATCAAAAAATATCCTGCGGGAAAAATCGAATAAAAGTTACTGGCCGTTTCGCTACGCTGGTCAATAAAGACACGAAGATTACCTACCTACAACGAAAGTCACTCGTCCCTGGACACATGTTGAAAAAGCGTGATACAACTTTTTCAACTCCTGAATCGTTCAAATTGCCTTGCAATCTTCAAAAATTATATTTCTTTCCCACGTAGCAGAGTTTTCAAAGATAGGAATTTGATAGTGATAAATAGCAATTACCTGAGTAGCTATTAAAAATTAAAAAATTGGGCAATGAAGATAACAAAAAATAGCGAGCTCATATAGCGATAAATTGCAATCAAATAGCTTTTTATAAATTATAAACTATTATATATATTTTATATATTTATAAATATGGAATTCAAAAATCGAACATGACATAAGAGCAAGTTTGTATTTCACATGAAGATTGATGTTGCCATTTATTAGGAAATTTATGGAATTTCAATAAGTAGACAATAACTGATTATTAGAAGCGGGGAAATGAAGAATAGAAAAATGTCACATCAGAGAATGGCACCATTTAACCTAAATTTACGGTTTATGTTGTTTGTCTTGGGTCTCCCCAAGACACTGGCCTAATCCCGGATTGATGTGACATTTGTCTATTCTTTTCTTTCTCCAGTTCTAATAGCTCTTTTATCACAATCAATCATGTAATTCTACCACATGCATACCCTGCACTTTTCAGAAAAATCTGGCGCTGAAATTCAATGACATTTCCTTGAACTCTTACAAAGGAAAAAGAAAAGGTTAATTTATAAAAAGCGATACAAACATTGATGCATCGCAATTGTGTGCAAGTCGGAACTTGCAAATAACCCGAATAGGTGCGACAACATGCTAACTGAAAATATTGTAATAAATTATTCTGTGCCTGAATAAGAGAGATTAGAAGAAAAGGTAGAAAAAACTAATCAAAAGTAGATACGGTGTACAAATTGTAGATTTTGTATCCACGACTTATGCTTATTGGCGACAAATTCTGAGAATTCGGCAACACTGACATGCGGTACCAGCACGCATTGAAAGTTTTAGATGTTGAATTGCAGCCCTGAGAATTTCCCTAACTCGGAGTAAAATTCCCTAACTTTCCAGGTTCTTTTCTACACCCTGATGTTTCCAGATTTTCCTTGACCCTTACTGCGACCTTGTTTTTCTAAATAAACTAATAATCTTGCGAAGGGATCTAGAACAAAGTAGAGAAACTTGGAGAATTGTAACCCTCTGTGCTTGTCCAAAGAACCTTGACATAGGCATGCTTTTTTACGAAGTTACTCCAGGTTGACAAGTGATTAAAAGCAACATAAGTAGGCTACGAATATAGATAACGCTTGGTCTGTCTAACGAGGATTTACTCTTAATAATCCTTAACCATTCTTGATAAAAGTAGGTAATCTATGAAAGAATGTCGCATACAACTTCACAGGAATCCCATGGTGAAGAGTGCAGTGAGGCATATTGAATGACGTAGCATATTAGTTTGAAAAGACATTTCCAATCTATTGAATGTAGGACAAAATTTCTTATGAACCCCCTGTGGCAGCTTCAACTGAAAAGGTTGAAGCTTTGACTTCAATAAGTATGTGGACAGAAATATCTGTAATCCACATCTAGACACTCTATGAATGAACAATTTTATCTTACCTCGTAAACTCAGTGAAGGCGTTATGGGGGCTGATTAGGTTGAAGGTTTTGGACCTGTAACTCTTTCGGCGAAGCAGCAACACTAGTCGGTGGAGATTTGGACATTTTTGAAGCACCTGACACAAACTAACAACTACAAATACAAACACACCAACGACCAAAAACCAATAAAATGAAAAACCTAACGAGAGTTCGCTGTCACAAGTTGTGATTTCGTTTAATCTGCATTGTAGGATCATCCGGACACACGACACACGACACGACAGAGTACTCAAGGGTTTGTTTACATGGACATGCTTAGCCATTGGCTTAGCGCCAGAGCGCGGTCAGTGACTTTCCAGTCCGATCAGAGGCTCCCATTGGCTGTCTGAAAATCCCTTTCTGCCGTACTGCCAACCTCGTGCTACAGCAAGAAGGGGCTGTCGGAAATTCGGAAATGCGCGTACCCACTTCAGCTTCTCTCGAGGAAGATCTCAGTTGATTTAAAGTTTTTTTGCAAAAAAAAAGGAGGAAGGAAACAAATTCTTTTAAGCATATATTAAAAACGTTTGCGAAATCGTTTGTTATGGTTAGAGGTCAGGTTTTCTTGCCGCTTCTGGCAAACCTGGTCAGTGGCGACTGATTTAAAAAAACTACCCGCGGACGCAGAAAATTTGAAAGAGCGAGTCCCAACCGCTAAGCCCACCACCAAACCTCTGAGCCCCAAAAATAAAATCCAAATATCCAAACCTCTGAGCCCCAAAAATAAAATCCAAATATCCAAACCTCGGGTTATAAAAACCAAAAATTTCAAAAGATCGAATAATGATCAACTTTTTATACAAAAGCCAATTCAACTATGAAACCTTCAATTTGTCGGTTACCTACAAAATTATTGTTCGCCAAAAAACATATTGTCTTAATCATTTGAATAACTCTGATTTCAGATCCTACAGAATGACTCAATCAACCATCAAAACGGCAAAGAATTAAAACCTGAAGAGAAAGTAGCTCTGGATAATGCTTCTGAAAGTTCCAAAAAATCCAAATGTATGTGCTGATGATCTTTCTTTTCTGTTTGTTTCTGCAAAATATCATCATGGAAATAGAGATAAAATTCTCCTGCATCATGATTCGCCGCTTTTTTCTCTCTCTTCTGCTTTAATTTTCAACGACAAAACTGAGATTGAAATTTAAAACCATGTGCCTGATAAAAAAGCGAGCACCTCAAAAAGTAGAATAATTAAGTTAAAAAACCATCCAAGCCCACTATTCTTTGAATAGTCGAGTAACTTTTCCTTCCAAACAAAATGTGAGGAGAATGATGCAGCTCCGATATATTTTAGGAAGGTACAAAAGTGATGTAGAATTGCTAAAAGATATTTTAAAACAATATCTACAGTATTAAACCAACTGAGGCTTTTTAATTTTATTAAAATGTTGTTGTTATTTTAATATAAGCTGTGTAGTTAAGAATCCGTACAAATAAATCAGCATGACCATCATGATCAAAATAATCAATGTACTAAGATAAAGTAAACATCCATGCATGTTCCATGTGTTCAAAATATTTTATATGTGTTTGTTGATTCTGTTTTATGTTGCGTAGCTAATAATTAAGATTTTAATTATATGATGTAAATATTTGTGTTAAAATTCCGTCTAACTAGAACAAATACTGAGTCTATTAACAAATTATAAGGTGCCTTTTTGTTTGAACGAAAATGAATTGATTTACAATTGGGTTTCATAGCACAAGTCAACACTTGTGATTCCAGCAAAGTGACCTCATGCTGTTTTCAGGAGATTAGTTTCTTTGGGTAAGCAGTGTCTGAAAATTGGTTTTAGTGTTCTATTATGCTTAAATTTCACTGCTGCTAAAGTTATATTTTATCATCTTACCTATGTGAGCGAATTACACAAAGAATTGCTCTATGGCACACACATCGAAACTTCCCGTAAAATTTACAATAAAATTATGAGTCATCACTTTCAAGCAGAATTTGGTGCGTAGGTAATCAAACTAATTAGTCTTCAAACCTATATTTTATTTAAATGATGAGAAAGAATCATTGTTCTGCCATATTACATTAGTGGAGAAATGTTATCTAACTTTGAGAAACGTGCACTGTGAGATTTACTGGTTTAGAAAAATGTTGAATAATTTTTATGAGACATGCCAGTTTTTTGTTATACAACAACCTTCATTTGTTTAAAGTAGGTAACTCATTTTAAATAAACTGTTTTTTCCAGTTAATTTGTGCAATATCTCTAATGTCCACGTCCTTTTGAATTTAGCTACCTACTAGGTACCTAGCTTTTTTACATTTCAGTATTTTTCATCCTCACTCTTCCATTTAGTTTCCACTTGCTGCAGAAAATGTTCAGTAAATCTAGGTATTGACATAATCATGCTTATATAACCATCCAAAATAGATAATATCCCTCTCAAGGTAAATACCTATAGAATGAATTCAGTGGACATTTGACTTGTTCTAGGGGTGTTTCAGAGAATGGGAAAAATGCCTCAAAGGCAAACTTTGGACACCTGCCTTGCTAAAAATCTCCTGAGATGTCTAAAAATGAGAACGGGTTTGTTTAGGATCGCTGGTTTACGGGAAAATCTATAAAAATTCATGAGTCCTCTGCATTCCCAATTACTAAACATAAAAGGAAATTCTAAAATTGTGACCAGAAGTGATCGAAATAGCAGCAACAAGAAGCTTTTTCCTGGGCTAAATTCTTCATTTACTGCGCAAGTTTTGTACCTCCTGAGTATTTTAATTTTTCCAAGTTGGGGCGTTTTCATTCCCACTGATTAAATTTTTGGGTCAACAAGACCTAAGCAAAAACAGGTCTGAATGAGAGTACATTTTTTTACCCTCCTAAGAAGCACAAGATCATCCTAGAGGATACATTTACTTGTAAAATTGCAGCAAGTAAGAAGTCTCTGCTCATTTGAAGAAAACTACAAATAACTAGTGAAATTAATGTTACTTTGATTATACAGTGGATATCGGATATAACGACCTTGAAGGGACCAGCCATATTCGGTCGTTATAGCCGATAGTCGTTATAACCGATAGTGGAATTGTTACGCACGTACCCTATGTTAAAGAGCTGAGAACAAGGCTGTGCTGTAGGTGGGATTCCAGGGCCCGGTGAATTTTGCTGCTGATTCATTATCTCTTCAGTAACACCTTTGTTTATTAGCTTTATCTAATTTTATTTGAATTGAATATTTATGTAATTCATTTATTTTTTTATTCTAGGACTAATTTTAATTAAAACACTTTGTTTGAATTTGTAAAAACAAGGTATTTTATAATATTGAGAATACATGCACTACACACTACATTATGTTTGCAATACATATGCGCAATGCCGAAGAAGTATAAAACTTCTAATTTGAATAATAGTCCGTGATTTCTTTTTGCTTCACAATCGTGTTTGCGTACCCTTTTTGTAACGCTCTATGGGCTGAGCGTAAAGTGTGACAAAGTGGAATCGTTCCATTCTGAGTTCAAAATTAGGAATTTTTGAACAGTTGTGATGGCTTCTAGGGCGTCTGGAAACGAGATCCTCTCCTCTTCGGCCTCTGTTGCTGTCGCTCAGGTCGTTATAACCGATCACCACATCTGTTGGGGCGCGAAAACTCCGTCGCTATGACCGATATGTCGTTGTATGCGATGTCGTTATAACCGATACATAAATACATTGAATGAATGGGATTTCAGCCGGGACCAACCAGTTTACGTCGTTATGCCCGATATGTCGTTATAACCGATGTCGTTATATCCGATATCCACTGTACATTCAAAGTCTAGTATTAAAGATCTCAAATTTTTCGAATAAATTATTTACAGTTTAGACCAGTTTTCTTTGTGATCAGGTTTTTTTAAAGCATGCTGAAAAGAGACATAGAGAGGTGTGTCAAAAAACTGCATAAACGTCTCAGGGCATTTACAAACTTCAAGCTCATAACCAGATGAATATCTACTGACAAGCCTAAAACTGTCTTGATCCCCCATGAGATTATTATGATAGATGAGGACAGTCCATACTGATCTCTAAAGTTTTTTCATTAATCAAGTGGCAAAGGTTCTTCTGCAATTTTCTGTTTATGTTCTGTTATTTGTTTGGTGGAAAAAGAGCTCATAGCATACCTAATATTTAAATACAATTGTACTGTAAAACTCATGCATTATGATGGGAAATTAAAATTACTGCAATAATGACTGGGTGGATTACAAAGGAGGCAATTATGCTGCAAAAGATCACTAAACTTAGGTTTCTCCCTGGCATTAAGTTTGCGGTGTCCACAATACAAGCATACAAAAAGTTTTTCGTGAAACATTCTTTTTGCAGTTACATCCCCATCTCTCAGCTAATGCCTCAATGAAAGATCAAAAGTAAATGATGGACATAACTTTTAGACAAAACTGAAATCATTTTTATTACGGTTTAAAATTATTGAACATATTTCTTATTTTGGATGTAAAAAAAAAAATAAAACATAACAACACAACATATTTTACACAGGTTCTTGACAAAGATGAATTAAGAGAAAAAAGGTAAAAGAAAAGGAGAATAATAAAATTATCTAACAAAAATATATCACTTCAAGAGAGATAAAAAAAAAAAAATAAATAAATAAAAAAATAATTAGAATGTACAAGTTTCCAGTTTACCATATTTATCCATTTATTTCAGCAACAGCTGTAAGCTGGCCAGATTTGAGTATAGTATATCATTTTAGATGTATATGTATATCAAATTAATGAAAAATCATCTCCAATTATGATGCAATAAGATCTGTTTTGCCACCATCATTTGATTTTTGAAAACTACAATATTTCTTAGCAATAGGGGCAGTTCTCGGCATTTCCCCTCTACAACTTGTAGTGGAGGAGAGTTCTTGAAGCAATGGTCAGGCTGAAAATTTACAGGTTACAGCATGGCCTGGGATGCCCGGCTAATACTGGAGAGGCCCTCAAATGTAGAGTGACACGGGGCGATTTGAGTCCAAAGTTCCAATTTAAATGCAATTTAAATCCAATTCAGGTGGCCATATCGGATACGGAGACATGGAAATCAAAGGATTGTCATATCTGTATATGCTGATACAGCAACCCTCTTTATACAATTCTGAGTCTTGAGCCAAGGGGACTTTTGTCAGCTGTTGCTTTGATTAGACATAGGGCTTAATATACTGCGACTTAAAATTGAAAATGTAATACTTAACCTCCCACTAGCTTTTTAATGAAAATAACAGAAAATTCAAAATTCATATTCCTAAATACCTAGTCTCGATGAATTTTTGAACCTGGAGGGGCCAGTGGTGCAGGAGGAGTGACAACATCTGCTAATTGCTGGGCCAAAAAGTATATTTCTGCTAGGGCGATTATGAGTGCACAAATCACACCCAGCAACAACCTGAAACCTGTATCCTGCTCGCCAACAAAGAGCTCAATGCCAACGAAACCAAATAAGAATCCAGCAGCAACAGAAAACACAAACTGTGCAACAGCAATCAACTGGGAATTCATCTGTCGAACTGGAATAAAAAAAAAAAACAAAATAAGGCGTTAGATAGCACAGATACGTGATAAAAGTCTCAGAAAACAGAGAGCATACTTTGCATGTTTAATCTATTGTTCTATTCTTATTTTGTCTATTCCCCTCCCCCTCTTTCTTCTTTTCTCCCACCTCCCTTTTTTTCTCATCTAGTTCTTTCTTTCTTCCTACTCTTTGTCAATTTTAAATATAGACAAACCTATTTTTATCAAATGAATCTTTACATGCCAAATATGAATAGAAGATTACACGATTCATCATGCAAACTAGATGCTGTAAATTGTAAAGATGTGTTCTTGTTTTATTCCTTTTGATGCAAATAATTTAGTCGTGATATAAAAAATGAATTGACTATTATCTCCATTACCTTAAGGAAAAATTATTATGGTTGCAATGTATTTAAATTTCAGAGGAAGAAATCCGACTTCTTGGTTCCTGACTCGGTTCTGATGCAAAATCTGGCTTTAGCTCTTCAAAATGATGTCATGTCTTGTCACTTGGAAAAAATCAGAGAAACACATCTTCAAACTGTTTTTTAATTGGTCAAACTATAAACCCAAATTTGATGGGGTAAACCATCTGTTAACCTGTTACAAAAGGCAAGGGAAAGACTGCTGGGAGATAACTTACTCTGAGATCCGATTGAGTCATCAGTGAATGGTTTTCTTGAACTATCTACATTCATTATCATTCTTCGATACTCTCGATCAGCCTGGTCAGCTTTCAGCTTCTGACATCGGGCCTCTAACTCAGGATTCCTTGGCTCCTCCTTCAATCTTGGTAGCAAAATAGTACACTGAGCTATCCACTCATGGAAACATGCTTTATTCGATACTCTGGAATGCATCCATGACAAATCCTCCAGATAAACGATTTTCCCCTTTGCTGGACACTCCAAAGCCTTTTTTATGACAGGGGGTGCATTCTCCAAGGTCTCAAGTTTGAGATCCTGTTTGATTTCCCTGAGGAGCGTCACAGGGACCTTAAATTGGATCTGAGAATTTTCCAGGCATCCCATCTGTAAAGGTCTTATGAAAGGCTTCCGTTTCTAGAGAAGAAGATATTGCTAAGCAGATAATTGCTGAGGCTTCGCAGTTAGATTAAGTTTGGATTCTAGTTGTTTGTAGTAAGACTTCAGATGATCTTCCTTTTCTTTGAAGGATTCATCAACACTTTTGTATTTTTCGTTTAGATTTTCAAAGAAATGTTGGAACTCAGCAGCTCGTGTTTCTCGACCAGCTTTAATTACGGAATTCTGAAAGGAAAGAAAAAATGTTTTGATTGGAGAAGCCACGTTTATGATAAATCTCTGATGTAAAAAACTGCTGTTCAGGATGATATAGACAAAATATATAATTAAGAACTAGAGAAACGCAAATTTTCACTGAGTTTCTCGGGGCTAATCTGCTTTCAATTTAATGTGTAATGGAGTGTTCATTGATATTTTAGCCCAATATTTGGAGAGAATTTGAGAAAAGTCATTGGTGTGGAATTTTGCCCATTAATGATAATTGATAATTCTTATGAAAAAAATCACAAGAGAACTGCAATATTGCAAACTAATAAGAAATTTTTCTAATTTTTCATCAATACAGAATTCAATTTGTGTACCTGGCAGAATTAGGTTGCCTCCGGATCAAATTTTTTCTATCTTAATGTCACACTTTGCATGATTGAGCATTGTTTCTAGAATCAAACAAATACCTATCTATGCATAGGAGCAAAAGCACACACAGACTTGCTTCTATGTTCCATAAGTGCGGTGTTGTAGGGTGGCCCAATAAAGATCTTTTTAAAAATTTCCAGCAGTGAAGAGGTGTGTAGTGCTGCTGCCGAGGTTTATGGCAAGGAGGGTTGTTCAAAAAATCCGAGCTTTTGATAGCCATACTCCCCAAGTGATTTTCCATGTCTACAGGTCTTAAGAAACTACAATTTAAACAGCCTCCTTGAGAGACCTTTTCTGAACAAACATTTGCACTCTGCACAAACAACAAGTAAAGATATATTTACCCTATCTAAAGTATCTTCAATGGCCAAAACGTTGTTGCAAGTCACTAATATTTTGTCAAGTTCTGCTTGAAGGACAATCAAGTTGTCTTTTGCTTTTCCCACTCTATCAATTTGAGAATCTTTGATTTCTGCAGCTTTTTCCAAAATTTCAAAAAGATCAGAGACTTCTTGATCACCTCTTTTTTCCTGAGGAAAAAAAAAAAAAAAAAAACATTTAAAAACGCTTTAGACAGGATTTTAGGTTGAGATTGGTAGATACAATAAGGAAGGTTGAATGGCAAAGAGCTTTCTCAAAGAGGCGGTGTTGCTTGGTAATTTCAAGGCTGCAGAGGGAGGTATTCACACATCATTATTGAAAATACACTTAGTCTCTTCTTCTGCGCTGATTTGTGAATGGTACATGAAACATCTTCAAAACAGCTGATGATAGCATCATCCTCAATTTTACAGTGTCGACTCATCACATAAATTCAGTAGTTAGTTTGAAAGGTGATTTCCAAATTGATTATGTCACCTGACAGTTCTCATTGCAAAATTTAAATGAAAAAACAATGAATAATTTGAAAAGGAAGTGCATGAACTAAAATTCTTTGAATTACTCTTTGTTCATCAATTTTGTTTCCCCCCCCCACACCCTTCATGTTTACCAAGGTAACAACTAGTTTTCAAAACTAGGAATCAGTGCAAATACAGCAAGATGCGACTTTGTGCAAAAATCAGCAACTTGCACATCATGCACAACATTGCACATTGCATCATGCACTTGGCACTGTACATAAAAAAAGGCAGGTGTGTTTAACATTGTGGCAGGAACTTGTAGCTCACTCGCAACTGCATTTTGTCGAGGAGCCTTGCAATTTCGATAATTGGATTCAGCAGAGCCTGAATAAAAAGTTGGGATACAAATCATCAAAATCAATCCATTTTTGAGGATTTGACACTGAGGTTGAAGTTACTTATTGGACACATCATGGATATATTCTTACCTCAAATTCATAAACGAATGATTTAATTTCACTCTGAAGAAATGGCTGATGATCGAAAAGACGGCTATAGACTTCACCAATGCCTAAAAGCAAACAAAATAAAAATGTTATGATATCAATTCAACACTTATTCATCAAAAAGAAATTCTACTTAAGGGAGAATATGAAAAATCAACCCATAGCCTTGAGGAATACATCAGTTACTTAATTAATTGCGAGTAAAGAACTTGCACAATCTTCAAAACATATCCATGCTATTAGTTCCTTTTGGTGAAATGCTGTTAAAACAGTGTCAGAGAATCACCTCAGGAAGATCTTGCATACTAAAAAGGGGAACTTCCCAAGCTGCTTCCTCCGATCGGGCTGAAAAAATTCATACAAACTCTTCAGATGAATCCATTAGGACCATGTTTTTTTGTTTTTTCCAATGCGCCCTGGAAACACCCCCAAAAAATTCCGAAAAGTCCGGTGTTGAGCATGCGTAGACAGAGCGCACCAGACACCCAGTGTGAGACCGGAGGGCTGGGCGAGACGAAGGAGCATTACTTCACCTCGCCCAGCCCTCCCAGCGCACACTGGGTGTTTGGTACACACTGTCTATGCGCACTCAGAACCGTACTTTTCGGCATTTTCGGAGGTGTTTCCAGGGCGCATTGGAAAAAACAAAAAACACAGTTCTAATGGTGGATTCATCCGAAGAGTTCGTACCAATTTTATTAGCCTCATCGGAGGTGGCAGCTTGGGAAGTTCCACTTCTGGGTAAATTTTCATGGATAACTATCAACATCCTATTAAAGAATGGTAGTAGGAAGTAATCTAGAGAGAATGAAGGAAGAAGCACTTCATTGATCGGATAGACTCCACGAACTTAACATTCAATAATAAAGTACAGCAAAACATGCGAGAGATATGTGAAAATTTCCTATTAAAAATGACGATTGTCCCCTATACCCATGTAAACATGTCCGCTAAACAATGTTCTCCTTATGAGTAAAGGTTCAGCAAGATAAAAAGTCCTCCAGCAAAAAATCTCCGATCATAAATATTAAATATAAAGTAACATATGTTCAACCTGAGGTCTTTTGTTCATCCATAAAACACGTCGAACTGGCTCATCGGCGGATCAGCTTGATATTAGGATTGCACGTTGCTGCCTGCCAATCACCTCTGAAGAGCAATGCACACATTCCACTAGGTTGCATGAATCGGGCTAAACCGCAGCAGAGGGCCAATAAAAAAGTAACAAAAGTTCATCACAACCCCCTGCGTTTTGGATAGAAATAAAATCCATCTAGAATTGAATGGTTACCGGTGAATATTTACCCGATAACTTTCCTTGATGCCAGGTATATCTGCTACGGTACATACCTAACATACTTCTTAATTTAGCAAAATATTATGGAAAGTTGCCACTGAAAAGCTTGTGAATACACTGGAAATTTTTGGGCTTGTACTTCTCTTTTAGATGAAAAACTGGAAATATTGACTTGAGTATTATTAGATACAGTCAAAGACATTGATACAGTTGAAATGTTAAACTGAACACTGTAACTAAGCACCCACGTATGTACTTACTAAACTGAAAAATAACTGAAAAATACTTACTTTTGACAATAGTAGACATTTTACGGTATCATACCTATCCAAAACTTGGATGAACTCGGCAATTTAACCTCAAGAACATAATTTAAATAAGAATTAAAAGCTCAAAATTTTGAAATTTGACAATTTGATGATGGTGCCTTAGGTTATGTTGTTGTTTGGAAAATGCATTTAGTGTGACGTCACGCGTCTACTATTAGGGCGGGGCATATTTCGTCACCTTCCGGTCAAAGTATCACAAGCGCCATGCGACGTTTCAAAATTTCCGCCGCGATTTTATTTTTTTACAGAGAAATTGTTGGTTGAATCTATTTGAAAATTTCACTGGATTTTATCGGCAGTCCAAAGAAATTTCAGTGAAATTTTCGACCAGCTTCGTTGGACAATTTCTCTGTAAAAAAATAAAATGACGGTGAAAATTTTAAAACTTCGCATGGCGCTTGTGATACTTTGACCGGAAGGTGACGATTTGCACTTGCTGGGTGGGTGTAAGCGCCAAGCT